ACTTTGCATTTACAAAAAGAATTCAACATAAATACAAAAATGAGTCAAATTCATATATATATATATATATATATATATAACACCACAAATTAAAGCATAGAAATTAAACCATACATGATAGTAAACTAACAAATATATGAAAAAATATAAATATGAGCATTACTATTAAATCATGTAACAATTTACCTCCAAAATACTGCATCATTGTTCACCAAATCAAGGAACCTTAAAAATGAAAAAATAAATCATTAGTACAATTAGAACTCCAAAAACATAAGATAATAAGAAGTAAAGATAAATTTACGTAATTACATGATTTAAGAAAATGAAAGTAAAAGAGAGATGGGGAAGAAAAGAATTAATATTAGTTTTGGAGGAAAATATATGATTATAAATAAAAATAGAAAATAAAATACAAAGGAAAAGAAATTAGAGAGAAGTGATGAATAAAAAAAGGAAAATGATTAATACACCCTCTAATTTAACACATTTTATAACACACTCATTAAGAAATTATTATTTTCAAATTTGAATTCATGGCGGGAAAATTTTCAAAGGCAAACTTTAATGATTAAATCGGAGTGTGTTATATAGTGTATTGAACTGAAAGGTGTACCAATCATTGTTCATAAGAAAAAGAAAAAAGAAAGATAAAGAAAAAAGAAAGATAAAGACATGAAGAAATAATGGAAATTCAAAGAGAATTGTTGAAAGTTAGAGAAATAAGAGATAAAGATAAGTGTTGAAGTTGGAGAAGAAAGAAATGAAGAGAAGATGGACAACTGAGGAAAATAGTTTGCCTTGATGCTTTTATATAGGATGTAGCACAATTCAGATAGTAAAACTGACCGAAATAAATTTGGCATAAATTACAAACCATTTTAGCAAAAAATTCAAATGGTAGAGCAGGTAATGGAAGAACTTGGGAAATTAATTTGGTTAGCAATTCTAACCGAATTAAAAATGGTGAAATTTTAAAAATTTCAACAACTTTGATAAGGCAAAGCCCCTTTTTTTTTTCCATGACCTTTTTTATTTTGGTCATTATTTTTTTTTTTACTAAAAAAGCAATTTAAAAAAAAAAGTGATGTAAGCATGTATTTCAATCAAATAGTTTGACCAACTTAAGATATATGGTTTTTTACAACTTATTTCAATTAAGGAGTTGGACCAAATTAAGATATATTGTTTTTTCTCACTTATTTTGGTCAAGGTGACTGACTGAAATAACCTGTGCAGAAATTAGGCAAAAAATTAAAGCCCCCTCTTTGCACTTAATCTGTAGGTTACTCTATTTCCTACTTTCTCCCTTCTATTTTTTTACTTCAACTATTTTTAACTTTTTGTCCTAAAATTTGTAATAAATGCAATAAAAATTCTATTAATTAAGGCATTTCCAAATATATATTAAAATATCAAAATTTAAAATAAGTTTACTTAGAAGCACATAAATATAAAAGTTGACCTAAAATCATAATTAAAGTATTATGTTCTAGAATAATAATAAAAGTACCGTGTAAGTATATAGGTACTCATACATGTCATGCATAATACTAATTAAAAGATGTTTTTCATACACCAACCTACTTAGAGCAAAGCCAATTATGATCCCCCACTTGTTCTGGCCCTTCCTCCTCCTTACATCATAAAAAACATCTTTTCTATTTTGTTTACCTTCTCTTGTAATATTTGTTGATTCTCTTGTAGTTTTGTCATATTCTATTGCAATTGCATCACACATTGAGATGATTGAACAAAACTAGCATGTATGGTATGCGGAGGACTTTTACGGTGTGAGAACCCTTATTCAGTAGGATCCATGTAAATGATCATTTTATAAAGTCATTCATCCTTAGAAGGTCTACCTAAAACTTAAGACAAAAATTGGGCATCTAATAGGTAGTGCTTTACAATTTTGATTGTAAAACACATTTTTTTTATTCCTTAAAATTGGAGCAAACAAAATCCTTAAATTAAATTGGTCAGGCCCATTATCTTAATGGGCTCATTGACATTGTCAACCCACAATTTCCCCAACGGTCGAGTTTTTCCCTTCAAAAATCCTCCCCAAGGTCAGATTGTTGTCCATTTTATACAATGCTATAAAAAAAGTACAGAGTAGTTAGATTATATTACTTATTAAATAGGAATTGAACTCCTAATAATGGAGTCTCTCACCCTAATGATTCCTTTTCTTATTTTACAGTGTAGTAAAATTAGTTGCCATAAAAATATTGGTTAAAATGCAAATTTGGTCCCTCAACTTTAAATTTATATTGAAATTATCTCTTAACTTTAAAAAATATCAAAAGTATCCTTAAATTTTAATTTTTAATACCAAAAAGTCTTTCCATTAATAAAAGTGCCATATAACTTATTATTTTACCATAAAATCAAATTTTTTAAATACTAATTGTTGGAATAGTAATCTAATTAGCTCATAAATGTAATAAAAGTTTATAAGGTCCAAATACAAAAGAGCACATGCATGAGTTATTATGAAACTCATATACACTCAAATGAATCCAAAAAGATCAATAAAAGTGCAATACGTGTAAAGTAGTTCCAAGAATTCTATAAACACCCTCATACCTTTCAAAGGTGAGAGACTTTCCTTGAGTACTTCACTCTTTATTGTACTCCTTATCTCTCTAAGAGAAGTCCTAAATATAGAATATTGCTAATTTTGGTGTCGGAGTGTCTACCTTTAAGGACAACCCTTGGGTCTATTTTGCAAGTCCTTGTGTCGGTCAACTCATGGTCAATTAGAACTCGTGAAACTGCTCAAAAACCAATGATGTGTGAAATTAAACATTCATATTTTACTATCATGACATACTTTTATATACAAATCAATTGATATATAATTAAAGTTGAAAAATCAAATTGGTATTTGTAATCAAAGTTCAAAGATTAAGTTGGTACTTGTCTTCAAAGTTTAAGTATTAATTTAGTATTATTTTCAAAGTTTGAGGACTATTTTGGTATTAGAAATTAAAGTTTAAGGATAATTTTGCTACTTTAAAGTTAAGGGATAATTTTGATAAAAATCTAAAAGTTGAGGGACCAAATTAGTATTTTAACCTAAAAATATTTGTAGGAAGAAAGAGTAAGGGATTCTGCTGTTACTTTGCGTTGGTCCTCCCCGCCGCGTTCTCCATCGACTTCTAAGTCTGTGAATCAGTTTTTTCTTGCAGATTTCCCTTTCTCCTTATCATTTCCTTTGAAATTTAACGTAGATTTTTTGAAATTTATCTCATTTTCCGGTCAATCAAAGAAACTGCATCGTAAGATTTTGTGTTTTGATGTAATTATTGGAAACGGTTTGTTTGGTTGCCCAGAAAATTGGAGAAAACAACCGAGGTTCTGAGGTTGTATTTCTGATTAATCCGTTTCAAAGCATTCTGATGATCGAGTAATTTGTTCCCTTTTGGGATTGATCTGCAGAATCGGTGGAGGAGACGAAATTTTTTCTCAAATCACGGACCCCATCCCTAACTTCATCCGGTAAGTTCAATTCTTGTTTCTCCTTCCCTCAATCTCCCTATTTATCCTGTAATTCGTTTCAAATTCAAAACATTCTTATAATTCAGTAATTTGTTCTTTTTGGGATTGATGTGCAGAATCCGTGGAGGAGGAGAAGGAGTGTTCTCTGGAACCCAAAACCCTGTCCCTAACTTCAACGTTTAGTTTAATTCGCGTTTACCTTTTACTTGATCTTCTTTTTTCTCCCTTATCCGTTTCAAAGGATTCTGATGATCGATTAATTTTTTTTAATTTTATTTTCGGGATTAATATGGAGATTAGAACTGAACTCAGGGCGTGAACAATCCAACAAATGGAAGGGTATGTATTGTCTCCCATATCGTTAACTTACAAAAATTTCTTGTTTGTCTGTAAAATTGATGAATAGAAGGATCACTGCTTTTCTTTTTCAGATTGTTTAAGCAACGCATTCAACTTTGTTTAAGAATTCAGCTAATCCCAGAAGAAGATCTTCATCAATTATCACCCCCACAACTGCTTGATTGATGGTCATCCTTCTTACCAATTCCAATGTAGGTAAGCCTTGCTATCTTTACATTGCTGGCAGTATTAGCAGGAACTTCTTGTGATTAATTAGTAGTTTCAAATTCTTTCCTCTAAACCTTTAATTTTACAAATACATTTGTGATCTGGTCCTGGTCCTATGCATCCGCTGAAACCCCTATGTGATGGTATTTTTTTAATTGCAAGCACTGTTTGCTTAGTTGAAATTTTTTTGTATACTAAGTGGGTCTATTTAATTCCATTTAATTTATGGTATTCTTAAATTGAGGGTTTCCCCATTGAATTTTATGTGCAAGTCACAAATTAAAGTTTTTCTCATGATAGGGATAAATCCTATATTTGAAAATGTGTATTGCATGTGTTGTGCTCAAATGGAAAATGGTTTGACTGATGGTATAAACATATCTTACATTTTCCAACTTTTTTAGAGTGTTTATGAAACATTTCTTAATTATCTTATTAAATAAACATTGTACAATTGCATTAGCTCTAGAGGAAGCACATGTTCCAACTTCAGATAATTGAAGTTATGCTAATACATATTGACATTAGGGCACTAACAAAATTATTTTCAGTTTTAATGTTGATTGATTTACTTTGAAAATTGTGCCTTATGTTAGCAATTTAATTGGGAACTGTATACCATATGGTTGAACTGATTTTTAATATTTAATTTATGTGGTTGAATTTTCTCTAATTATCAGTTCAATTTGACATTTTGTTCGTACTATATGTCAAAATAATCAATTCTGTTTTGATATGTTTGGTTTTGTTATTGTGTAGTATATCACTTCCATGAGAGAGCAATTATTTGGAGTCAAGTGGGTTTTCTTGCACGAAGTGTCGATACACAAGGAGCAGCGTTTCTTCTTCTTCTTCTTACTTTTTAATTATTTTTTATATGCATTGTGATGGACTGTATAATTGGGACTTGAATTGGACTGCTTTTTGGTTTGCTTTTAATTTTAACACTAACAGGTCACTTCACGTATACACACTTGACATGGAGCTGATTGGCTCTTGACATGCATGGCAATTAATGTCATTACATAGTTTAACTGTGGTTTGAGAATCTGAGTTTAAGAAACAATATAGCCACTCAAGGAATCATAATTCTTTAAAATAACCTACTAGTATTCAGTGTGTAGATTGGAACTTTATTGTGTTGAAAGAATATTTTTTGATTGTGGTATTTCTTATTCTTTGCTGTCACATATTAGAAATGATGAGGCTTTTTGAACTTCAGTTGTAGAGATATAATGAACCAATCTATAGGTTCGGCAACAGCTTAGTCCAGGTCAAGGTGTAGTAGTTCCCAAGATGCTGATCTTGAGATGAACTGCTTGTTATTTTGCCACAGTAGTAAGGTTTGTTGAGATCAGTCAGATTATAATATTTTCGGACAGACGTAACCTTTTACTGCAGAAAAGATATATTGATCTAATCTCATTTGAAACTTAGGGTCCGTTTGGTATCATTTTGGTTTTTAGGTTTTCAGCTTTCAAATATTGTCTTTTCAGGTTATTTTACTTTTGACCATTTTTTTGCCTTTTCTGAATATTTTTTCAAACAATGTTTGATATTTTGATGAATTTAAAAATCAGAGAACAAAAAAAAAAAATTTTTTTGGCAAGTTGCGGAACTCTCTTTTCTTTCTTTCTTTCTTCTTCTTCTTCTTTTTAATTGTTGGTACATTCTTAAGAAACCAGAAACCAGAAACCAGAAATTATGTTTTCTTTTTTATCAAAAAAGGAAAATTGCTTTCTAGCAGCAAATTTGTGCAGGAAATATATTTTTCGTTGTGGTTTTGTATATTGAATTTGTTGTCTATTTCTATATATTTATTTTCCATATTTTGATGTTTTAATTATCAATTGTGCTTGTATTTTCCTGTCACATATATGTACAAATTTCCTATATAAATATTTATCTATACATTCTTTTTGAATGGAAGTGATGTCCAGTCTAAGCAACACAGCAGCAACCTGTGAATAAATATTATGGTAACTTTTAATTGGAATTTGGTTTTTTTGCGTTGAAGAGAGAATTTACCTATTAATTGTTTTACAACTTTATTTTTTAAGTTAAATATTCTTTTAGAATTTATTACTTTGTCTTCAAAGCTTCAGCAAAATAATAAATAAATAAATAAATAAAAGCAAACAAATGCATGTTTTTTAAAACCTTTTAAGAATCCAAAATCTTTAAATTTGTGTGTTCTCCACTTTTATTTTTTTGCTTCAAGTTTTTTGAATTTTCATTTTATTTCTAAATTTTGTTTTCTTATTATTTATTTTTTTGTTTTACGTGATACCAAATGATTGTACCCCTACACCATCAAGAATATGGTGTACTCTCAAGTCTTAAGGGACAAATGAGATGCTGATAAGTATAGCTAGTATGGAGTTGTATATTTGACAAAGTAGTTTTCATCATTCTCATGATCGCTATTGGGAGATAACGCTTTTGACTAGGATTGTGTATTTGCCTAATCAGTATATTTCTCCATTATATCTCTTAAACGAGTTTCATAAAGTCCCATGCTTTTCAAGTATATGATAGAAAAGATTGGAAGGACACTACAACAATGTACAAATAGTCTTAGCATACAATGAAGCTCTATAATCTATAGAGTGGGAAGCAAGTGGATTTATTATTTATAAGGAATTTTTAACCTGGGTCGAGGCTATATTATATCTTCTTCAGCTTGGTTTGT